TAAATATGATATGTGAAATAAGTAATTAATTTAGATAAGTCCAAATGTTGAAAAGTGTGAAATTTGTATGGGAGTTTGGGATTTCGGGTCACATCCCACACAATAATAATAACAAAGTTTTTGATTGGGCTCTTGGGGTTCCTTGATTAAAATAATTATTTTTTTGTTTTTAATTATTTTCGAAATTATTTAATGAGTCAAACTAGCTAATATAATATGATTGTTTTTCAACGGCCCACTATTTGGAATCCATTACTCACGTTGCATTAAAAATTTCAAATCTTTTTGAATCATATGGAGACGGTTATATCTATTCTGTTTATATAAACACTATAATTTTGGAAAAAATACATCAAGAAACAGAAATTATAATTGTCATATTCTGTAATTTTTACTTGAGTATTACATTTTTTTGGGTGTACACTTCATAGTCTTGAAACCATTCATGATTGCTATACAAGTGGTTTGTTTAATCATTGTATTCTGTGAGTAATCGTACACAGAGATCGCAGCAGTTATCGGTGAACAATTTCACTTTTGGACATCGTGCTGTCACAAGACTTGATCAATCAATAAGTTTTATTTATATATTTATTATTTTACAAGTTACTACAATTAATTATTTTCGAACAAATGCAACATGATAAATCATGAGATATGCACGCACCCTATGATTCAATTTAAAAGAATTGTTTTGCTCCCTTTGTAGACCCCATTATATATGTATCTTAAAATAGTATGTGTTGGAAATTATGTTGGTGGAATGATACCAAATTCACGGGTACCGTATATGCATTTTAGATACCGAAATTGCACTTACCGTATATGCGTATGTATATACACAGATTGTATACCGAATTTGCACAAACTTGATTTTACGCATACAATAAGATTAAATACCGGATTTTCTCATACCGATTTATAATATTAGTTAATTACACAATAAACTAAATTATCATAAACTACAATATATTAATCTAATTCAGAACTAAATTATATTAAGTTATATAAGACACGTTAATTTAATAAATCTAAACGGGAAAGTTGAAAATTAACAGAAATTTCAGAGAACAAAAAATAAAATAAAATTAACGACATGCTTCTAACTTCATATAAACTTTTAATCCGAGGCCTGTGTAAACACAATGTCCTTAAAACATATTCACTCTCTCACCATACGTGCTTGAGTTTTAATCTGAACGTCTGTTTCCCAAGATACAACGGTATATAGTAGAATCTGAGCACCGCAGATATTATTCTGGCGAAATGATCTAGTATCCGAACAATATCACCACAAGAACAAGACCTTACTGGACAAGGAATGCAGAAAAGAAGAAACTATATATGTAGAAATGTAGATGAAATTTTCGAGTGTGTTAGATTACTGGAGAATGAGCCTTTTATAGGCATACTGCCCATTAACATTGTGACCATTGGAGTTACTGCCCATTTACACTGTGACTATTGGAGTTTTTGCAGTTTCAGAAACTCAAAAGTTATTGGAGAAAGCAAAAAAAATTGTAAAACATGGGCTCTCCGAAGGGGCGAATTTTGCCTTGTTCGGTCCGACATTCGTGTGCGCAGGTCACGGCATCCAAGTTCAAGGTCCGAAGGCTATTTCGATCCGAGATTTGCACCCCCTGCGCGCACGTGGAGATAGCCTCTATGCTACACATGATTACACTATTCCAAAGTGTAGGCGTATATAAAGTGGTTCATGCTTCTTTATTTTTCTATGTGGAACAAATGTCATTTTTCCCACATAAACCATCTTCCAATGACCAACTTTGAGTTTCAATTTTTCATTCATCCGTTAATCAATTTTGACAAGTAAATATATGGTTTCGATGCTCTCACGGAGGAGAACACAGATCAACTTTGATCTTCCAAATCGGACCAACAGATCCCACTCAAACTTACGGCAAAAGTGACCCATTTACTCATTTTTCCAACAATATGTGCTAAACAATGCATCAATCGTGTGGGTCGGTTTGATTCACCTTTTATTTGAATTTCATATTGTAATTTGAGTTTAATTAACTAGTGAATGAATGTAATTGTAAACCAAGTTGGTCGAACTAGCTTGTTATAGAAGTGAAAGCATGGATTGCATGGGAGTAGCATAATAAAAAGAGAAAAGTAAGCGATCTTTGGTATAAAAGAATGGAAGGATTGGCTTGTTGCATCAACATAAGGTTCCAAGTAAATTTTACTTCTATCATATAAAAGATTATTTCAAAAGATTAGTCATGTCAATATTAATCTTTTTCGCAACTTTATCTTACCCAAGTTGACCTCTGAAGAGGTGCTTTCCTTTTGGGAATAGCAATAACAAGATTGGCCATTTGGTGAAAGTTGAATCCAACTCACTTGCAAGCAATGTAATACTTGGCGGGCTCGAATGCCCCATTAAAAAGTGAACTGAAAGAATTTGTTTTACACAAGCTCTTTGGATAGAAATGAAGTTAGCGTCCCTTGTAAAAGTTGTCATGGCACCTAATAGTGTCTGCTTCGGTTAATGAGTTCTTGACTCTGAAGACTTTGAAGCATCATTTTTATAGACGCCTATGTTTTTATGGAAAATTCACAGCTCATTGATCTTTCCTAGCGTCCCCCTCCCCACCTGAGTAAAATTATATATGAGCATAGAAGGAATTGATATTGAATTCCTTCCTAGTTGTCGTCTCCTTTTAATTCAGAGTTTTTACTAATTTTGAATATATAAAGCGTGTATATATAATGTTTGATTCATCTTCTATGATCAAAATAATTAAACGATTAAGTAACTGTTTCACACGCGTTAGTCGCTAACAATTAAAAAGAGATCAGACGATTGTGTAAAGGACAAACCTCTTGAGATAAAGTCTAAAAAAGGGGTTTTTTTATTGGCGATGACTTTACAATTGAAAAATAAAAACAGAATGCCTTCAAGGGGCGCAAGCACACGAGTTACTGAAAAAGGAAGTGATATCCATAAACTGATATCTCTATTAATTTTTAAAAAAAATATTATTTTCATCTGCTTGACATTCCAAAACATATATCCACACAATTTTTATACATCTATCTCATCATAATTTCTTCAATCCTTTTATAATTCTATTGACAACATTTTTATATACTTATCCTACCATTTTTATATATCCATCTCATCATAATTCTTTCATAATCCTTTCATATTTTCAATCATTGCCATCAGTATTTATAATGTTGTTAGTTGCTTAATTAATTGCATTTTTATTCTTGACATTTCAAAGCCTTTATTTTATGTTAATTTTTGTACTAATATCTAGATTCATGCCCCTCAATTAGAAGTGAGTTCCGTACCAAAATATAGAATCGAACCGAAAACGAACCAATTGGTTCTAGTTCGGTTCTTTATATTAAAAAATATATAAAAATAAAGTATAAAACTAGTTGTCAATTAAAAATTTATAAAATAGAGTTAATTAAATACTACAATGAGCAAAAATACACTCCAAGGCTCAAGATCGATAATAAGGGCATAAAAAGGATAAATTATTGAAGACAATATAAACTGTAAAATTCAGATAGAAAAATAATTGTTAAAAAAATTAATACAACAATATATATTAAAAATGTATATAGTATTTGTATCATATTATCTTCAAGGAGAAGATCTTGATTTTGATGATCGACCAATTTGGAAACAATGAGATCTATGAATTTTTGTAAAGTATTTATAAAATTATTTAGATTTAAATGTTGATTATCCATTAGTTTTATTGTACGAAAAAAGAAGAAGAAGTGTATGGATAGTAAAAATTTGGTGTGGGATAGTTTTATGGTAGAGTATTCAAAAATCTGGTACAATTTGTGCAATATACCAATAAAAAGATAAACAAGAGAGAACTGAATTCATTTTGGTTCTAAGGTAGTGCAAAAAATCAAATCCAAACCAAATGATTTTCAATGCATGGTTCTAAAATTGATCAGTTTAATAAAAGTATCGGAACTGCACGGGCTAGTTTCGGTCTGGTTCCACCGTTCTACGAAAAATGTCCACCTCTACCCTAAATGTTACTTCACTATATATTTACTAAGTACTTCGTTGGCTTCCATGTCACTAATTTTTCAATTATTTGCTAAATACAGATAATAATTCATATTTAAATGAAATTATTAAATTGTTGTACGTTGCTGACTTATTTATATATAAAATTACACTACATTGATTTCTTTTCAATCATCTGTAAAAAAAATCCGGGATCCGTCCGTGTGCATGAAGTATTCTAAATAAGGCAACTCGATCAAGAGTATGGAAATACTATCTGCCAAACAAAAAATTGGTATATAAATACTAATTAATTAAACTACAAATAATTAATTGATTGCTTAATCCCTCTCTGATGGAACAAGCTATTGAAATACTTAATTGGGAACAGTCCGTTTGTAGAGGTAACATGACCCTTATTTAAAGTCAATGCCCCATAACAACATTTTGCGTTGTTAAGTATGTCCATTAAACATACATTTGCCCCCACAACATTCTGCATTGTTAAGTATGTCCTTCATATACGAAATTTATAAAACCGACGATAAAAATACTTCTTACTTTTTTTTCAAACTCCTCTCCATATATTGCTATGTCTGTACTTATTTGTTTTAAATGTGTCTCTTCCATTATTTTTTCTCCAAATGTTCAATAATAATATTGCAAGATTTTATTAGCCACTTCAACCAAATGAGTGTTTAAGGAAAAATGAATGTAGAGTTTATGATTTCATTAATTAGAGAAAAATGATAATGACAAAGAAATAAATTACATACCTTTATAGACGATTTTTGAAGAGCAAATGGAAGGAAGGTAGACTTTAATTGGGGGTAAAATGGAAATTGAAATAGGAATTAGGACAGTAATGTCTTTTTGTATGTAAGGTCATTTATCAATTATATTTTCCATTTTCCATATCTTTAGGCCTTCTACCTAAAAATAACTTAGTTTGTGAAATTTTTAAACTAATGTTTTGTTTGACTTACTTTTTAAATTAGAGCCCCATCCTTTAGTTTGTAAAAGGTTTTGAGTATTTGTTTGATTTATGTTTCTTTGACTGTTTTTACAGCTAAAATTGAATTTATTAAAGATGTTTCAACCATTGTAAGTCAGTCACTCTCCATGAATCTGTACATATAAATTATGCCTTGTTCTGATGGGTAAAAATAACTATCCAATTCATGCATTTTCCATTTGTAACTCAATTTAGAACAATCGGAATTACTGTTCCTGCGTCGGGTTTCTTGAGATTCAGTCGTGGAGTTTAATATTACTGATAGAGGTAATTTTTTTTCTTCTACTAGATTTTTTCAATTTCCACTCAATGAATTTCAATTGTTGTGTAATGGAAAGATGTGTTTGCTCTTGGTTTCCTATTTGATCTGTTGACTGATTTAGAATGAGCTGTTTAGCTGACCATTTATTTTTTTAAATGGGTCTCTGGCACAAGTTTATACATTTTTTATGTGCATATTGAAGAATTAGTGTAGTTAGCCTTTCTGGGAAAAAAAATCATAAAAATAAGAGAACTTGATTGAAATGCTGATGAACTTTTGGGTAAGCTAACATATTTCTATGGTGGTGGTTTTTGTTAAAGGCTGAAAAAAATTCTTCCCCCTCCCATTGACGAGCTGTTTATTTGTTAGTTTTTCATTTTTTGTTATAAAGTTTGTGGTATGTTTTAGTTTAAATTGGATTCAAGATTGAGAGTATTGTGAGTATCTTTTTCGATTGTTGCAAAGAAAGTGTTGATTTTGTACTTAACTATATATGATTCTTGTGAAGTGGCTGTGCATCCACTAATTTCTACGCCAGATATATTTTCAAATCTTTTTGGAGTGAGTAGTACTTATGAGTTTGTATAACAGTTTACAAGGGTGCCACTTGTGAAATCTATGCTCTCAAATAGGAAGATGATGGTGTTCGTGATTCGACTTCTTTAGCCACCTCCATATATGAATCAAGTGATGTTGGTCATGTACCTTTCCTTGATCGATAAGTAGAAGCTTGGGTTCATAATGGGAAATCCATGGTTATATCTCATATCAGCAAAGAAATTTGGATAACAATATGATCACTATAACCCCTTGAATCCGAATTTGTTGTTCATAGCCGGCTTCATATATGTTACATATTGGCACATTCAATTATCTATTGATTAAATGTAATGTAGTGTTTACTTCTTCGATAGCTCATCTGTAGGTTTCCTTTTGTCCCTTTTCTTTGTGTAAGTTTCCAAAGCAAGGTAATAAGTTTGTTTCTATATTCTTCTACATATACATTCCATGAAGTGAAAAGGAAATGTGATAGGAGAAAAGAGGTATTGCTACTTGTGATTTAATGCCATGTATACTGTGGCTTTACTCATACCTGCTCCAATATGATTTAATTTTAAGTTCACGATGATACGTAAGAGATTTGTGGTGCATTCCAAGATTTAGGCACAGGTTGCATGTTTATGTGAACTTAAATGTTAAAGCCAAAATATGTACATTCCCATAAGAAACTTGTTGATCATAAAACGGTGAAATCGGCATTTTTAGGACATGTCAAACCTGCTTAGGTATTTTAAAAGTATTACTTGATTGATTAATTTACCTTTCATGGGTAGTAGAGGAAGCATTTTAATCTAGGTCTAGACTCGATATATGATCTCTAAATCCTGAAAGCATCAATGTCATGATAAAAAAGTTGCAGTCAGATTGGATTATGGACATGTACATGGTCCCAAAAAAACTAATTCCTTTTGGATGATTTTGGACATGTTGGGTAGACTAGGACACATTGCCGTCGCAATAGCAACAACATGCTATCTCGTTTCAATTTTGAAAAGATGAAAAGCATGGATAAGAGCATAATATAATAACATGATAAAGTTTTAGATTGAAAGAACACGAAAAGTAAAGCTATACATATTACTAAAGGATGGCTTTGCCGGCCTCTTTTACCATTAGTACACCTACAAGGACAATGCCGGCCTTGGCCCAAGGCAAACTAGGCCATTGCCTTGGGCCTCATAATTTTGAGGGCCTCACATCAGGTGGGGGTGGGGGGGGGGACCTCAAAGCTATCTCTAATTTTAGATTTTTTTATGACCCTTCCAAATAATATAAATTTTGGCATCATTAAAACAAATTCTAGATTTTTGACTTGACACCAATATAGAAACTTCTTCAAAACAAATTTGACCTTACCGTAAGGAAAGCTGATCTAGCAACATGAAATTATTTTACTTTTGCCTTTTTGTTAATTAAGAAATATACCATTTTGACAAAAGAAATCAAAATTAAGAACAATTTCCTTTCAGCCACTAAACTACATCTATTATATTACTTCACAGTACACAAAATAAGAAGAGATAAAAATTATTATATAATCTCTATGTTAGTAAGAAATATTTAATTTAATGTGTGAATTTTACGTTTGCATTCTTATATTTAATTCCTCAATGAACATTTGATAACTCAAATGTGTGTACCAATTCCTTTTGCATCTCAAAATGTGAGAATATTAAATATTCTACTAGTCTAATCTCTCGAGTTGCGAGAGATGATTTATTTTGCTAGTCTATCTCTTTAATTGCATGAAATCTTCATTTTAATATAGAAATATTATTTGGTTAAGTATTTAAGTACACACACACACACATATATACACTCGAGGCTGGCCTGTACAAGGACCTCATTAAAATGTTGCTCATTAGGATTGCTTCACTAAAAGCTATTAGGAGTTACTCGCACCTTCGGTTGACTCCTGTTCGTGGAGAGGTATGGTCAAGTTTTACAACTTCAAGATTACATATTTAATTATCTATAGTTGAAAATAATATTTTGTATGAGTTTAATTGAAACCCACTTATTTACAGTTAAGTCTGGTGGTAGCTTGTGCAAATGTTTAATTTGGTGCTTGTAGGATAGTTAATATATGCCGAATTGCAACATAAGGGCAAAATTATCATTGCTTGATATCGTCCATTTGATTAGTTTAAAAGCCTTTGTATATACCCTAAAAAAGGTGTCCAGTTTCGTGGAATTCAAATTTAGATAAACTTTTTATAGGTTGGGTTGTGGAATCTCTTGCTACTGAAAATCAAGTGTCATTATTCAAGAGTTCATTAGTTATTTGATAATTATTATTAATACTGTCGATCATTCTATTTCTGATATAAGGTACAAAATTTTCATGAAATATAACTAAACACTGTTTCTTGTTGAAAATAATTTTCCTATAAATCCAGTTTTCCTTACTTAAGAAAGGGATAACTTCACCATATACAGGGTTAAACACATCATAGAAAAATGTGTGAAGTATATTTCATGATCACTTTTCATTTTATTTTTTTTAATTTTCATTCCAGCAATTGCATTTAAAGTGTTCATTATAGTTTTCTTTATCATTCTGGTTTTCGTTTATGGGGTAAATAGTTCTTTCATTCAGATATGATGCCGTTCTGGTGGCCTTTATTGGTGCTCGCATTTGCATACGAGATTTGTAGATTCCTCCTTATAAACATCCCTTCCAACGTACCGTCTCTTCATGTTGACATCTCTCTTGGTTCTTCTCTACTCACTACGCGTGTGTATTTTTTGTTCTTTATTTTTTCAATCCTGTATGGATTTTGTATATGTTAAAAAAATGTATATGTTAGATATCTGAATACTAGGGATACACGCACAGATGGCTTGATTCTCTATTGCTAACGAAATACACCTACAGGTTTAGGGGAAAAAAAGAGAGAGAGAGAGAGAGAACAAGAATTTAGCTAAATCTATATTTCTCTAATTCTTCTAAACCAATAATATATGTGTGTAAAATTCAATGGCTACTTAACTACAATATATTGTGAGTGCATTCTCAGATTGAGTTTTAGCATTTCTCTGAATTAGATGATTTTCTGTAACTTTTTAAATTATTAGTTTTTATGTATATAAAAGTTAGCGCATAAATAATCACACAAATATGTGCATTGGTGATAGAATTTTCTGTGAATTGGATGATTACAGTGCTAGATGATGGAAATCAAACAGAGAAAAACACTTCTATGTAAGTTTTTAAAATACTGTTCATTTTGCTATTAGATATAAGTAACTTTTCTTTCAATAAAGTGAATTATACCTTCTAAATGAATTTTATTTCCTTTTTATGTTTTCTTGTGCGTCAAATGAAAAATTAAAATATTAAACAAATTCTGATATTAGCTTTGATTTGGTTGAACATACTAAAAACCAAAGACTTCAACCATGCTAGGTTAAGCTTAAACGTAATCTAAAATAACTTTTTCATTTTGTGTCAAAAATGTTTGCCTGTGCTTATAAGTAAAACGTTTATCTTAATTTTAGGTATAATAGCAAAATTGTTTTATTTCTAAGACGTAACTTACTGCCAATTGAAATATTGTTTTTCCTACTTAGGTATGCATCTAATGAATGTAGCCTCAATTTATCTATTGATTATTACAATATTTCCCTACAATTTACCTTTTACCATACGAATATAAGGACAGAAAATTACTTTCTAATGTATATCCAAGCTAAGTAGCTTCCCTCCCCTCCAACGAAATCCATCATTTGAGAATATCTGAGCTTGTTGTGACGAATAGAAAATATAAGGATAATCATCTACAATTATAAGCTTACTACAACTAAAAATTTTATATACGCTATATGCAGTTTTATATATACTTCTACCTGGATAATTGCTCCGTGTTTTTTTCTCTCTTAGCAAATTATTTATTACCTTTGTTTTGTGGTTCTAACCACCTCAGTTATGTTTATACTTGTAGGTTATAACTATCAATGACACACAGAAGAATTGGTTTCGTTGGAGGAACAGGGGCCACTTGAAACATTATAGAAAAATGAACTGTAGGTATAAATGATATACAAAAGAATTTATGACAAAAATGCTTATTTTTTCAGCACTACAACAAATCACATTTAAGTAACTCCGATGGGATGCATGTTCTGATTGTTCAAGTTTCATTCAATGCTTTCCTTGTTTCCATCAACAATAGCCAAAAGAATAGGTTAATCACAAGTTCAAAACATGCTCATACATACAATTTCCACAAATTTTAAAATCGAAGTCTTGGCAGTAAAATATATCTAGCGACTTCTAACTGAATTGGTCACGTGTAAGATCATATTGGAATCTATCTCTCATCTACACCCATTTGCAAGCACGGTCACATAGATACAGAGGCATTCTCAGACATATCTCATCCTAAATAAAGTATCTAACTTTCCACTTGATTGTGTATAGAATTAAAAAACTTAGTGAATTGGCACAATGTATTATTCTGGAGTTGGTTGCTTAGATTGTTTCTCAGATAGAAATGAATCTTTGACATCATCATGCGAATGATGCAGCTATTTTAGCAACCATTAAGGTGTTTCTACAATTGACCCTTTAGACTTCTCATGACCGATGTTCATCAACAGGTACATACAATTTCATTCTTAAGTATCATCTTTAATTGACGCTGAAATTTGTTCTATTTGGTTTTTTCCATTGAATTTACTCATCCAAACTTCAATTTTCTTCTTCAGAAGTTGAATAGAGTATTCTTATGATCTGTCTTGCTGTTTTTGCAATGTTGAAGATTTACTTGTTGACATATCTTAGACTTGTTTCTAAATCTCTTTTAAGGAGAAGTTCCTATACACATCTAGATCTCATTGCTTCTTCTGACACATGATTATTGTTTGAGGAACTGCTGAAGGAACACTATCATAGTTGGCAAGTCACTGCATTGTAAAACCGTCAAATGATTCTTTTCAGCATATCATTCCATCCTTTTATTCTCCATTTAGTCCTCCTGTAAGTTGCATGTTGTGAATCCAAAAATGCGTGGATCTTTAAAGATATTTTACAAATTTAATCTCTACACAGTTTTGAGTCCTGTTATAATGGTGCACATCAGGCCAAGTATAATTCTCAAATCTCGTATACAATTAAATCAAATTTAGCAATGTCCTTATTCTAAATTCTAAGCTCTTTTGCTTCAGATAAAGTATATCACATATGAAGTTTTCTGTTTCAGCTTACCTATAAATTATGTAATATCATTTGCAGTAAACCTTTCTCTGCCAGGTGCTATTATGGTCTCGTGCCTATTGTGGAGCCTGAAATTCTTCTGGATGGAGACCACCCAATTGAGAGGACACTTGAATTAGCAGAGCGTTAGCAGAGAACAATACTATCTTTGAAGTCATTCTACATAAACCTTCCATGGTAGCTCCAAGTGCTGAGGACAAAGAGTAGGCTTTTCCAAATACCATTATCAAAGATACACTCACCATGCTCAAAAGGAGAGTGCCTCTGACAGTTCTAGGAATCATGGTATAAAACTCAACCCCCTGTCAATTAAGTTAATACTGTGAATTTGCCCCTCGGGGTATAGTCCAGTAGTGCAAAGGATAAGAGTGAGGTTATCTCAAGCCTTGCTGGCAGCCGCAATGTGGGGGTTCGATTCTTGAGACATGAAATTGGACTCCTTGTAGGCACAGTGTACAGACAGTTCTTGTTCCCCGACCTGTTGGGGCATATTCCGCGATTTACTTCCCTCACAAAGCCCCGGGGAGGGGGGGGAGGGGGTGGGAGCCCTCAAGGTTGGGGCTCAACCTTTTTTAGTTAACACTGTGAATTTTAAATCTTTGAGTCCCTATGTAAACATCACCATTATGATGTCGCAAGTTTCAACACGTCATTACTAATATCAATATTTTGACCATTGAAGAGTACACTGGGTCAATTAACACTGATGAGGGTTTCAAATTTTGAAATTCAAAAAATTTGCAATTGGAGCTTGAAAGGGTGTTTGGTGATGTGAGTAGGGTGGGAGAAAAAAGTTTGGACTCTATGCGATGGGATAGATTTAACAAATTAATGATTTCTAAATCCAAATTTTTGGCCCAATAATTTGTTTCATTTCTAATTTTTTAATTTTTGGCCCAATTACCCATTTTATTGTTTCATTTCTTAGCCAAACAAATCAAATCCACTAAATAACCCTAAACACCTACAATAAAATGCATAACGTTGTCTCGACTCTCGCACTCACTCTCGCAGCCTATCTAATATTCCAAAACCTATACAATCGTCGGCCGACACTCTGACCTCCGATCGAAGCCGTGACTTTCCCCGACTGAAGCTTTGATCGTAGCGATCATTTGAACAAGATAGTTTACTAATCTCTGACATTCCAAAACTATTGAATGTATCATTAGTCGTATTTATATAACGTTGTTATAAATGTTAAAAAATTTAATTATAGTACAGAACCGAACGGAACCGAACTGATCCGAACCGAACCGAATGGAACCGAACCCGAACGGTTCCATAATTATATTTGGACCCGACGGTTCCATTTACTAGATACCCGAAAAGTTTGGTTCGGTTCGGTTCGGTTCTAAAGAGAACCGAACCGAACCGAACCGAACCGACCCGCGCCCACCCCTACTTTAACTTATTAAGAGTACAGTTGAAGTATTGCTAACAAACTCCTTGAATCTCTCTATGAATGATATCAAATCCTATAAGACCATCTCCAACTTTGCATCAAAGTTTTGTATCAAATTAAAAATCATCTCCAATCCATTACACCAACAAAATAAATAGTGTTTAATTATTTTCTTCATTTTTTTTTATTTTTAACAATTTATATAATTGAAAATTTATTTATTTATTTAATTTATTACTACATACACAATTACGTTTCATTTACGAAAATATTAAATTATTTAATAAAATTTAAAAATGTAGTACAATTAATAAAAATATCATAACTAAGAAAATATAAAGCCCTTGTTTGAGTCCCATTCTTTTGATAAGAATGAATTTTTAAATAGTGTATTGATGGGAAATGAGTGGTTAAAAAATAAGAAAAAGTTTTGAATTTGCATGTAACATTATTTTATTGAAGAATGTGTGGTTGAAATGATATTAAAACACTGTTTAAGAATGTATTTTTTTTTTCAAAAAATAGGAATCAAACAGGGGCTAAATCATGTTATTAAAAACAACGTAGTACATTTCGAATTTTGAAATTATGATACGACAAAGTAGACATAGTGTCATAATTTAATTATTGGAATTCATATATTTGTCCTACAAATGTTTCATTTTCTGCATCGTTGAGTGAATGTATGTATGTGGCTGTTGTTGTAGTTTTGTTTTAATTTTAAATAATCACATTTGTTTCATTTCAAAATTTTTTGGGTACTTTTGTTTTAATTCATTCATCGATAATTATTGATTACACAATTAAAGTTTATTACAAATAATAATAATAATAATTAGTTGATTACACAATTATTATTGATTACACAATTAAAGTTTAGATTCCCATAAGGAGGATACATGATGCTCTCATTGAAAAATAATTAGTTGTAGTAATGTTCAGAACAATAAAATGCAGAAATATAAAACTTATCGTCCGATCGAGTCTCGTGCCAGCAAGATGTCCTAAAGTGAAATTGCTCGTAGAGAATTGTTGCGACCTCCGTGGATAATCTCTCAGGATACAACAATCGTAAATCACTTGTGCAGTAATCACGAATGATTTTTTCAGAACTCTCAATTGTACTCCAAAATATATGTAAAAACCCGAATTTAAGAAATTCAGAATATGAAAAGGAAGGATTGATGCAAGATGATTTTTCTATTTTCTTTTATGTGTGTTTTTCCTAAAACGAGATATGGGTTTATATAGGCAAGATGGAAGTAACAGTCTTCATCATGATCAGAGAGTAATGCAGAATTTTAATGATTGAGTAGTGGGTATTTTAATGACTGTGAGTGAGTTGTTACAAAAACAAACGATCAGAAAATATTGGTTAGTTTTATCCATTAAATAATTAAAAATATATATTTTAGTCAAGGAAGCCCCAGTCAAGACATTTTAATATTTACGTGGGGAGTGACTCGAACTCCTAACATCCTACACAAATGCCACATTTTCCACTACTTTAGTACTTAATCTAATTTGATTATTTATTTCACATTTTATATTTATACTATAAATATATAACAGCTCTACCGAATTTCAACAATAGGAGGAGTTATAAAGTCCCCAAATGACAAATAATCCTTATCAATTCTGTAGTCTCCCATCTCGTGTTGTTAATGGTATTTTGCTTGTCTTCGTTCCATGACAGCAAACAAACCAAAGAAAAATGAGTAAATCAACTAAAAAAAATAGAGAGAGAAAGGAAAAGAAACAAAGGTAAATTTAACTAAAATAAAAAGTAAATAAAATAGCCCCAATAACGTTGCTAAAAACTTCTTTTTAATATTATCCACAAGAATACATATCATGTACATGTAATAAAATGATGAATAGAGTGTTGAACCTATCGCGATGATTGATTGTTTAGTTTTGTTGATTAAAACTAGGTTCAATCAAGAAATAATAGTTTCAATTATTCGGTTTTTATTTTATTATATCTAATTATTATCTAAAATACGCAATAAATTCTTGGATTTAATCACTAATGAAAGTTACTAGAATACAGAATCCATCATTGTTAATCCTCAATCACCTGTCGTAAACAATTTTTATTTTATATGTTAACAATCAATATTCATTATGAGCAATATTTTTCTCTCAAGATAAATTAATCTAGTTTCTTACATATACCCAAATATATCTTTTTGAAGAATACAAATAGATAAAAATGCAAGATGGATAAGAATATTAATTAAGATTTCACTAGTCGTTTATCATTTGATATAGAAACATGAATTACCTCTTAGTATACTCTTGAATCACAAAAATAACCCTAAAATGAGTTAAATAATAGGATGACAAAACAATCAAAAGAATTAAACAAATAATGAGCAATTTATTGATTAGAGTTAACAAGGTTAGTCGGCATGATTGAAAACCAAAAAATGTAAAGTTTAATGATATACATAACTCGGATAAAGAGATGAAAAAGATGAGTACGACCCTTCAATCTTGAATTGCATCATCAATTTGCCAGGAATATGGATGAATTTTGTTTTGTATATGCTCCAAAATGATGTATTATAAATTATGTGGCATGTCCTGATGGTGTCCCTAATTATATAGGTCTTCTAGTTTCTTTTGTGGAAGGACATGGTTTTCCATTCCAATTACTCTTATGATCTTTTCCCTTTTTAAATAAAAAAATTTGTGTAATCAGTCCACTTCTTTTGCAATGTCTACTAAATTCATACCAAACCTTTAAAATATGACTTTTTCAATTTCTAACCTTTACTTTCATTAGCATATATATTTCGTCTTTTTTACATTATATTGTACCTTAATTTATTCACATATAAAAAGATAAAATTGACAATATATTATATTTAAAACTTAACTTTATCTTTTTAGACTTAAACACTTCCTTCATTTTCAATTCCAAACTCTGTAAAAAGAATTGCTCAATCCTTTTTTATGCACAAATCTCTTCAAAATACAGTTGATTGCACGGTCATTTGTGAGGAAAATTGTAAAATTTGTTCTAAGGACAACGCATTTTTTAAAAAATTTCCAACTTATTTGAATGTAATTGTATATTTTTTCTTCACTCATATATGGGGAGTGAAATTTTTTAAAAAAAAAATTTTACTTTATTTTTTTATTTATTTTCATAGATAACTTTCATTTCCATTTACTTTCACAATTTTTTTTTTTCGATTTTTTGTGCTTTTGTGAAATCAAAACATGATGATTTTTTTTTTTTTTTTTTTTTTTTTATACAATGACAAATTTTTGGTTCAATATTTTGTCTTATGTACTGATAAATGAAATTGATTAATTTTATGTTTTCATCAACAAATATTTTTAGCAAAATAAGTAATTTTATTGTTTTTAATGCGACTCCCTCTATGAACTGCATTAGATGCTTTCCGCGGAGCACAAGTTAAAACTCTTGGCACCCTCGGGGCACATCCAAGTTGGCAAAGGAAGGACAGTGCGGGGCTCGCAATCCCAGCGTGGGGAGTTCAATTTATGGTTGGAGCAGCTGAGTGTTGTAATAACCAGAGGAAGGGTTGGAGCAGTTTGGTGATGTAATAACCATGGAGGAGGCTCCTTTGGGGTCGGGAGTATAAAGGCTATTCGAACTCTGGTCAACTTGGGCACATCCCGCGATTTACCTCCCTGAGCTGCTGAGGGGCCGGAAGTTCAGGGACGAGGATATAGTCTGGCGTAAGCTAGGACACCTCGTTTAAAAAAATAAAAAATAAAAAAATAAAACTCTTGGCTCCACTTCTGGGCATGAGAGCCACTAAATTCCAAAATAACTCGTGAAAATGATCAAAATGGTGTCCAAATAATAAAAATAGTTTTTTTACTATTTGGTTATAATATAGCCCCAGTTTGATCCCCATTAAATGAGATTATAATTTTTCAATAGCGTTTTTTTTTCTTTTTTTTAAGAATGAGTGGTTGAGAAGAAGGAAAAGTTTTCAATTTACATATAATATTATTTTATTGGAGTATGGGTGGTTGAAAAGAAGAGAAAGAAAAATGAATTAAATTTTAATGGAGACCAGACCAAACAGGAGCATAAATTGCAAGATTAGCAGCATTTAAGTTATCATTTGTTAAATTTACTTTTGTAACACTTATGAATAATATGGTGGCCCAACTTTCAAACTTTGCCTTAGGCCCTGCAATTCCCAAGCATGTCAAAAAGAAAGCTAATTACATTCACACAATAATTTTTATTTCTTGCACCACATTTTAATTGTACTTAATGTTATTCATCTCGGCTTATTATAGCACTTATGTCCTTAACAATTTTTTTATGTCATTATTATCCTCAAACTTTTCATTAATTAACACATTTTGTATTTGACAATAATTTTATCTCCAAAAGTCAAAAAGAAATTATTTATGCAAGATTCAATTTACTTTCTTCTATGTTTTGTTACAATTCTAGTGATTTATTCTAAAACAATTTATTATTTTTCTGCTTTCATTATGAATAGCTAAATTCATCGTTAAGGCGAATAATGTAACCCAATTAGGATCCTTTATGTGTTTAATTAAGATTATTTTGTTTTTATTGTTTCATGTGTTGATTTTACTTTGGATTCAATGCATTAAATTACTTAGTCACTAATTTGATGATTTCGTGAATTCTTTATGAATAGAGATCTGAGTTTAGGATTTTAGATCATATAGTAAAATCCGGTACATTGGTATGAAGAATAGAGATACATATACTAAGTATTGCAGTCATAATTGAATTCCTAGAACAAAGAACTCGTTTAACTAAATTAGATTTACATAAAGATATGAAATTTAATTAGTTAAATAGGCTCAATGGGAACTCTAGAGGGGTAAACTGAATACAACAAGAGAATTTGACCGAACATTTTTAAGATGTAAAGTCGACCAATAAGTGTAATTATTCTACCCTAACGTTGGTTCATTATTTGATTTCTAAACCAATCGTATGCGCACTCACTTATTTTCTCATATTTGGATTAAAACTCAAATCCTACAAGTTTTTATCTCATCAAATAGTGGTTAAAGAAAAATTGAATTAAGTGCTAGAATATAGCCCTCGTGGGGATCGACAATCCGGACTCTTAAATCCACTTACTACATGTTACGGTCCGTGCACTTGTGGAAATTAAATCCACAACACGTGTATTATTATTTTGTTAAAGAATGTGGTTAAAAATAAGTTTTGAAAAAATGAATTTTGGAAAGAATGGGGCTCAAACAATAGCTTAAAAATTTAAAGTCTTTTTTGTATATGAAGATTGTCATAAAAAATTTTAAAATGTTCGATATGGAAACCAAAACAATATTTGATTTTTCCCCAATCTTTAATCTCAAATTCATTTTTCAAATAATCTACAATTTTGTTTAGTTCGTCAAGGATTCCAATTAAATTTAAATCATCAACTTCAACTCTACAATTACAAATTCAATGTTTATTTTATTCATGAAAATACATGGATAGACATCATAATTTTATAACTCTCATTCAACAAATGTTCGTTAAGACGATTATATCATATGCGTCTATATTGCTTCATAATTGAAAATATAGTTCTAAGGCGTGTATCATTTGTTTTTGGCACTTTAAGTCCATTAGATATATGTCACTATCAATTAAATCATATAGATAGACAATTACTACTTCCAAAAGGAGTATATCCAGCTTTAGTGACATAGTTAAACTAATTAAAATTTTAAAAGCAATGGTATCCATTACCGGGAAATATATTTCCATATAATCAAATCATTGTCTTTGCGACCTTAGATTACGAGTCGAGTTTTGTATATTGTAATTTTATTATTTTTATTTCTTTTCCTTTCAAAAACTCACATGTGTCCTATAGAAATTACATTTTCAAATGTTCAAACTACATGTCAAAGCTATGCTAATTTCTCTAAGGAATTCAACTCTATATGTATTATTTCTTCCCATTTTGATATATCATTTCCATATTGACAGTCTTTTACGGACTGCGGTTTAGAATTCTCAATTTGCATGATTTCAAGAGCCACCTTAAAGGCTAAAATAATATTTATAACAATATTTTTTTAGTCCAATAATTTATGAGAGAGTAAATAATTTATTGAAATTTCACTACTTTCGAAAATTTGTGATTCTGCAGAAATTATGTCATTAGTATTTTAATTGATTTTTTTTCTATTGTACTTTTCGTTTTCAAGGTGCAAAATCATTGTTACCAACTAGTCGATCACGCTTCTATTGTATTTGAGATTCAAAAATGACTTTGTCATTTTTGAAGTTGATCATGCAAAAGCATAAACTTTTTTAGGTCAACGAATTTTGAGTTCATCTCAATGTAATCTTCATCACAACAGTCAACGGATATTTTAAGACTAAATAAATTCCTCTGTATTTGTTGAAATAAAGTGCATCATCAATATAAAATTTTATATTATCTAATTAAATGATATTGACTTTTCTAGAGCCTTCAACGACATTCAATGTACCTGATATTGTGTTACATAATTTTCTGCTAATACTAATTTCAAGAAGTACTAGAAGAATTATGTGCATATCAACTACTAAGCATATATTTTGATGATCCATCTCATATCATTTTAATATATCAAGTTTTATACTACCCTCGGTATCCCTAGTGGTGCAAAGGATAAGAGTGATGTGTACTTAGCCTTGCTGGCAGTCGCAGCGTGAGAGTTCGATTCCTGAAATGTGGATTGAGACTCTTTGTGGGCATCAGTATACATGCAGTTCTTATTCCCTGACTGATTGTGGCACATCCCGCTATTAATCTCTCTCACGATGCTCTAGGGGCTGAGTGGTGAGGAACCCTTAAGGTTGGGGTTCAACCTTTTAATATATCAAGTTTTATACTTCTTTGAGAGCAATAATAAAATATTTTTTGAGAATATTGAATTATAGAATGTTATAATCATCAAGAAGAATAATTAATGTTTTCTTGAATATTATCAAGGTAAAAAATTATTTTCTTAAAAAATGAAAACTCAATATTGAGTTGTTTAATGTGTGCTTCTTCCCATATAACTTTTGCTCTTGAAGCAATAACATAAAATTATTTTTATCAACTAATAGATCTTGTACAATTATTCTATTCGTAAGCAAGTAATATTCGTCTATAATATTAACTTAGGCTCTGTTTGACCTGCATTATTTGAAAAAAAATATATATTCTTAAATAGTGACTTGACATCATTTCAATCACACATTTTTTAATAAAATAATATTACATGTAAATTCAAAAAAAAATTTCCTTATTTTTTTACCACACTTTCCATCAATCTGCTATTCAAAAATACATTATTTAAAAATAATTTGGCTCAAACACTTAATATAAAATTGTATAATAAGTAGTTTTGATTCTTCCAAGATAAGCAACTTTTTTTTTTCCTTAACGAGGTGTCCCAGCTTACGCCAGACTGTATCCTCGTCTCTGAACTTCCGGCCCCTCAGCAGCTCAGGGAGGTAAATCGTGAGATGTACCCAAGTTGACCAGGGTTCGAACAGCCTTTATACTTCTGGCCCCAAGAGAACCTCCTTCATGGTTATTACATCATCAAACTGCTCCAACTCTTCCTCTGGTTATTACAACACTCAGCTGCTCCAACCAGGAATCGAACTCCCCATGCTGAGGTTGCGAGCCCTGCACTGTCCTTCCTTTGCCAACTTGGATGTGCCCCGGGGGGCAAGATAAGCAACTTTATTTTCATAAAATCTCTGTTTAGACCATATCTTTTTCATGAGATCAAATTGTTTAGTTTTTCGTTTTTGTTTTTCAACATGCTACTTCGAGAGCACGAGAAAATTTTTAAAATATATTTTACTATTCATCCTACAAGAGCAATATATCAATATCATTCAAAAATATTAAAATTGTAATGTCACGCTCTTTAAAAATAAGAAATATTCTTCTAAGATGTTAATAATAATATTGTGCCAACCAACAACTAATTACTAATTATAAATATTCATTTATATCCTTACTCACCAAGAGCAAAAACATAATATATGTTTAATTTTATAATATTATGCTTTTCAAGAAAAAAGAATGTTTTAGCAAATATTAATATTTACGGAGTTGTACCGCTTCAAGAATAACATGATACATTATTTCATAGGAAGAATCAATAATACAAGAAAATTGATAATAGCTATAAAAAAAATCACAAGAGCACGCTTAGAAGAAAAGAATTGACTTCTAGTTCACGTGCAACTACACACAAAAAACATACTATTAGATAACCATTATTAACAAACACACATATTCTCCCCGTTCACTTGGACCTCGTTTGGTAGTCATTTTTTTTAAAATGCATTTTTCTCTATCTTCATTTCAACCATACATTCTTTATTAAAATAATATTACATGTAAATCAAAATTTTTTCCTTATTTCTCAACCAAACTTTTCACATCAATTTACTATTTTAAAATGCATTTTTACATAAAAATGTCTATCAATCACCCCCTTGATGTTACATGAAAATAAACATAATTACTTTCAAACAAATTTGACTTGAATTATAATACGAATTGTGTCTGAAATTGAAATTTCTTTTGGAATGTAGATGAAGTAGTATCACCTTCTTTTTTCTTAAAAGAAATTGACATCAACTCGATTAGATATTTGTGAGCAAAGAGAGGAATAAAAGCTAACTCAACTGATTAGAAAATTCGTGTTGATAACGTGTTATAAAATAAAGAGAAAATGAAAAGAAAATATAAAGAAATCCATAAACATGTATGTATTTTATAGAGAACCAAATCCCCTTATTTATAGGGAATAATTAGGCTTGTAAGGAATTCAATAGTCAAAATTACTCGGGAAACAGCAATAATTTTCATTTACTTAAAACAAATAATTCACAATACTTATATCCAACCTATTTGTTACAATGTAGGGCGTCCTTAACGAGGAAACATTCGGGTTTTAATCTATGTTACAACGTTAAATTACGAGTACAATTTGTGAAATCAAAATGGAATACATCACCTGTTCGGCAAATCTATTGGTTAGATGACAGATCTATTCACATATATACATATCCATATAAATTGGTTATGCTCAATAAAAACTGTCACGTATTCGCATGTGTGATGAAACTTGAATAAACAAAAGACACAGGAAACCCTAATGCCCTGTATGATTCTTTTTGTACTTATATGGATGGCCCATAGCATGTTGAGTTGACGATCAATAACTTTTGCCTAAAACCATCTCAGCTTGTGTATTAGTTTTTATTATATCGGCTGTAGTTCTTGTTCCGGAACAGCAGAATCAACAGGCTTGTATGAAACTAGAGATTGCTCCCTTCTCCTCCAAAGAAACCATAGCCCAGAAGCCAATAATCCTAATACTATCATAAAAACTGATATTGAAACTATAACCACCAAATGTTGCTGCCACCACGTCCTCACAGGAGGGGGCTCAATGTTCCATTGAAACAATTTGTAACTTCCAAAACTATCAGGAAGATGCACACGATTTTCATTCAACCTGGCTATAATATCCATTGCAGTAGCATTGGCAATGTAATCCTCAGATTCAGGTGGAAAAATTGCCCATCTAATGAGGCTATTGCTCCCTTTAGACGTGAAATTCATCAAGTGAACCTGCAAAATTAATTCCAAAGTAAGCCTGAGGTATCTTAGTGTAAAATGAAAGAAATAAAGATAACTAATCCAAATTTAGGTTTTAATGACCATATAATTCATAACTCCTGCACGATTCGCAATATAAATTAACCAACCTGAGAAATAATGAGCATATTAACTCCTGCAAGATTAGCAATATGAATTTATCTACCTGGGAAACATTAACAGCCAGCTCCTTCGAAATGAACTCGGCAAGCTCTGAGATGTGAGGCTTCAAGTCTGAGTATTTCACACTGACTGACATATAAAATGTAATGAGTCCTATTTTAATCACCCCTGCAGATTGAAGGTCAAGTAAAACTTAATAGAATCAGATCATCAGAAGTGTCTAGAATTAACAAATATCAATTGCCTACATAAAGCCAAAATTATTATTTATCCTTTGACACATTAGAATCTATAACCATCCACAAAAGATATTTAATAAATATCTTTATTTAACCACATTTAACCACTCTCCTCTCACCAATGAATATGCAAAAACTAGTTCCCAGATATTTAATAAATACTGGAGGTGAATGCATGTAGAATAGATTATTCATATATAAAACCAGAGAATTTGAATAGACCAAGAGGTACTGGGTTGTTCTTGTAAATCAGAGTTCATCAGTAAGACATGTCCCAATTTCTTTCAAATCAGTATCACCTCAACTGTTGGCATATTGCTTCTTTTATTATTTCACATGTTCTAATGTGGATACGCATGCACTTTAATAACCCCATTTTACTAACCTTAAATCACATATTCAATATAACAATATAATAACTGGTCCAATAATCATTTTATATGACTTCATTTTAAGCTTAACCCTTGTTTGAGCCCCACTTTGGGGGAAAAT